GGGTCTACACGAGTGTAGGGAGTGTACTGGGGGGTGCATGCAGCCCTGTTTAAGGGTCTACACGAGTGTAGGGAGTGTACTGGGGGGTGCATGCAGCCCTGTTTAAGAGTCTACTCGAGTGTAGGGAGTGTACTGGGGGGTGCATGCAGCCCTGTTTAAGGGTCTACTCGAGTGTAGGGAGTGTACTGGGGGGTGCATGCAGCCCTGTTTAAGAGCTGGAGGTGTGTTAACGTGCGTTTTGGAGACCCCAAAGTTCTCTTCATAATTTGGGATGGGGTACGTTGGACTGTGTGTACGTGTGTGTTGTTTGTTGTGTTGTATTGTTACTTTACCTGCAGGGAGAATGTCATAAAGTAACAATACAATCAAGAGTGACAGGCCTTGTCACCACCAGTGTCTTGGGCCAACTGAGAAGACCTTCTGCCCCACCCAGGAAGAGGCAAGGCCACTGGAAGTCCGAGGCAAGGGGGCTTGCTTCGGTGCGCACAATCATTCACCCGTTCCCAGCCCCCCACCCAAGCCAGCCCTGCCCCTCAGCCCCACATGCTGTCTCCCTCCTGAAGGCTTGTCCCCTTTCCACCATTACCACTATTGCAGATAAGCTGTGTGATCCCGGGTGAGTCATTTGCCCTCTCTGAACCTTCAGGCCCTGACATGCCATGAACTCCAAATTAAATAAATCTGGAAAATTTACTGGAAGTATCTAGGTAGGGTGGATCAGAGGACTAGAGTTCCCTTCTTACCTATAGGGAGCTGTGGACTAGGGGAGAAGAATGGGCAAGGTGGGGGCCGGTGACAGAGAGCATAGGGTGGGAGGGTTTGGGCGCCTGTTGCCAGATCAGAAGGTGATGTTCTCTGAGGGCCTGATACAATCTGTCTCTCCCCTCTCTCCTGGGTGATTTCCTACCCCCTAACCTCCATCCTAAATTATGAACCGATGGCTTAAACTCTTCTCCCTGCTTCAGACTTGGTTCACAGCCTAGACAAAATGCAAGGCAGTGTTTAAGACGCTAAGTTTAAACCCTGGGTCTTCTGCTTGCTGGCTGCATGATTCTAGAAAAGGCATGTCAGCTCTCAGAACATCAGCTTCTTTGAAATGGAAATAGTAATTTCTACCCTGAATGGCTACTAGGATTTCATGAGATACCGCAGAATTAACGTCTGCCACATTGCTCAGCGCATAGTGGGGACTCATTTAAAAATACTGGTTTTCCAAATCCACTAACACATCTGAGACAAGAAGCCAGGATCCCAGTTGGCAGGACCCATGCTCAGGGCACTCAGGTGGTTGGGAGAATGGGGCTTACCTTGGCCTCCTCCAGGGCTGCTGGTGACTCTGTGTTAACAGTTGGTCTGGTTTGGAGTAGCCACCTTCTTCTGTTCCAAATCTTTCAGCAGATGCCTTTTAACTAGTGACACCTGCTTTAAATAATAGAAATCTAAGTCCCGAGGAAGAATTTTCAGGAAGACTCTGGCTACCCAACAAATTTTTACCAAGTCAGCGGCAGCCATTTTGTAGCACCAGACGTGCACACCCTCATTTTCAAATGAAGGGCCGCCTCCAGCCTGGTTTTCACACCTCCAGCCAGCAAGGGGTCAAATGGAGATTAAGGGGCCATCTCCCCAGTCCTGTTCCTCAGGTCCCAGGCCAGGGCTTACATCCTATACTCTTCTCCTGAAACTCACTGAGGCAGGCTGGCAGTTAGGAAGCTAGGCCTAAGCTTTGTTCCCCCAGCAACCAAAGAGGGGAAAAGACTGCCTGGGGAAGCGAAGACACAGCAATGACCTGGACAGGCTGGGAGTGGAGTGGGTCGGTGGCTCCGACAAGCCCGAGGAGGAGTCCTTTCCCCACTGCCTCCAGCGGCCCCAACCTTGACTACAGGCCCCCACCTCCTCCCCAGGCTGGGCTCCAGAAGTCATCACCTCAAAACACACGACTGGGCCCAGCCTGGGGCTGAGGCCTTTTCACCTACAGGGCCTGGCCTGCCTCCCTCCTTCTTCTCAGGATGGGAAACGGAGGAAAGGGTAAGAAGTCTTCGCACTACAGGCAGCTGGGAGGGAAACCCAACAGGGATAAGGAAGGATTCCTTGGAAGAGGGGAAATGATCCGGCAAGGAGATTTTGCAAAGGCGGAACTGACCTATTTGCTGTCAGGGGCTATGCACAGGACTACATCTGTGTGTCTTTCTGTGCGACCGCCTGTCTGCAATTCCCAACGGCTCAGCCCTACCTCTTGCTGCAGTTGCTGCAGCTCTGGTCAAGCCGCTCAGGCACTGAGGTTGGGGGGAGGCCCCCCACCCCGTCCTGGCAGCGCGGTGCCTGCTGGGGATTGTAGTTCTTCTATCTAGGGAAGGCGGATCAAGATCCTTTAATTTCAACAGACACACAGAAAACTCTAAAACCCATCTACCCTTGCGCGAGTGGCGTTCCGCGCTCACCGATTCGTCCTTTGATTGGTCCACTCGCCTGCCAATATTCCCTTTTTCGTCAACGATTAGCTGTGCGGAAGCATAATCCAACCGCCTATCCGAGCTCAATTAAAGAGTTCATTGATGGCGTTAATCTTTACTGAGCAGAAAACAGATCCGGCTGAGAGGGGAGGGGCTTGGACGCGGAGGGATCCTCGGCCCTAGAGGAAGGCGACGAGAAGGATCGGTGGCCGCCGCCGCCATTTTGGGCTGGGAGGAGGCAGCGGAGGGACTCGCTGCGCAGTGAGAGCACCCCATGGGGGGTGGTCCGGGCGCGGGGAGAGGCCGGGCCGAGTGGGCTGCCTGAAGTGGCGGCGCCGGGAGACGGCGGGGGGTGGGACCGGGTACCGCGGGGGGTGGTGAAGGTTGGAGTCTCTCTGGCCGGGCCCGGTCCTCAAACCATCCCGGCAGCCCCGCAGCCTCGCCTCTCACAGAGGGCGGGGTTCTTGGGGAATTACCGCGTATTTCCCGAGACCCCAGCTGAGTTGAGACCGGGTGAAATGACTCTCCTTTGCTCTTTCCACGGGGGCGCAGATCCCGATGCCGAGCTCCGCTAAGTTCTTTCCCCACCCCCATGCGGCCTGGGTATAGCGGCGAGGCCCGGCGTAGCGGGAACCCCCACTTCGATGGGCGCCGCGGGGGCGGGTGGAGGTCGCAGCTCCGACTGCGCGTCCCTCTGGCGTGGCAGTCGGCTGGAGGCTCCGAGGGCAGAGAGCCAGGTGCACCCACCATCTCCCCCCGTACACCAAGGCCATCCCGCGGCCAGGGCTGTGATCAGAACAGCCTTCTTCCTACTGTAGCAACCACTAATTCTCCCCAGGGACCACAGCTAGATCGGGGCACGTGGAAATCTCTGAGCGCTCTTGCCCTCGAGATCTCTCCTGTCCAGCCCCGATTCTCTGAACGACCTGACCTCGCACGTCGCCAGCCGCTTTGGGAAACTCCAAAAGTGTGCTGTTCCACTTCTCTTGAAAGTTTACACCAAAGGGGTTTGCGCTTTTGCCCTTTGCAGAGTTGGGACACAAAACAACTTGGAGTCGCCACGGTTCTGGGAATAAACATGGAGTGGCCCATTTCGGATGCTTCAGGAACATCTGTTTGCATTTTGAAATCTGAGCCATAACTTTTACCAAAACTTTTGGAGATGGCCGCCCTCCTAAAGGAAAAAACGAACTAATTCCAACGTAGTCTTTATAAGGCTACAAATTCTTTCCAGTTTAAAGAACTTTTCTCCACAGACGAAACAAAATGGGGGAGTATTTTGCCACTGGTGCATTGTTACTAGGGAATCTCTATTTTGAAATTCCAAGTAATTGAAAGTCACTTCTGTGGATCCCAGATGGCCACCAAAATAGAAATTGCAAATTTGAGCTACTTCATATATGTGGCGTTTGGGGGAGCAGGGGAAACCTACTTTGAGAAAATAAACGCTCAACCTTATAGCTGTAGCAGCTTCTTAAGGATTGAAGTTTGATGTGAAATTCTTTTCTTGAATTGCAGATGAAACCGTTTTGTTTCTTACTGCTTGAAATCTAAATTCAGAGAGATTCATAGGTCAGGGGTAGCTTAATGTTGTTGCTAAAAGGTCAGTTGAAATTATGACTAGGTAGACTCGGAATTAGGAGAGTGACTGGGCGGTGAGCTTTATCTTAGAGGGTACCTTGTGATGCGTTTCATTGCTGATTACGGATGGTCAAATCGTTCCGAAGCATTTGGCCTTAATAGCAAAGTTTCTTCAGAACTGAAGTCCTGTTCCTCCTATTAATAAAGTGATTTTTTTTTTTTAAGTTGTAAGAGTGACAGTTCCATAGCTTTAACTGTTTTCTCCCTTTGCCCCCCAGATGTTCTCAGAGAAAGTCTTAGAACTGGATTGCAAAAATACGATCACCTTTGACTCAGGTTAATCTAAAATTTGAACCACTTTTCCTAAATAAAGCTTCAGGACACTTGATTCATGCTGTGGGTTGACTTGGCTTATGTCATGTTCACTTCACACTGTTGTTCAGATCAAGAGAATAGGCCAGTTAGGAAAAGCTGACACTAACTTGGTAGGAGTTAAATAGTTATAGCTGAAAGGGGCTTTAAAGATTATCTTTGTGGTTCCTCTGTCAAGAATTTAATGGCGGAGGATCTCAGACTGTGATTCATCCTCCATTGTGAAGTAATCTATAGTTAAACCTTTGGAAGCTACTAAGTGGAGAATACTGTACCAGGTGCAGAAATTTGGTACTCGTTTTTAAAGATGAAAGCTTATCATATTTAAGGTTGACCCATAAGCTTTTCCTTTCCTTGATAAGAAAAGTTGGGAGTAAAATCAGTTTATTTAATGGTCCCTTGGTTATCTACTGAGCAAAACACAGCACTGGAAGTTAGGAACTCCCAAGTTCTATTTCTGTGTGTGCTACCACAGATTTGGTTGGCTTGGCTAGAGGCCAAATCCTGAAGATGAGGCCAAACTGGGCATTTTGTTGCTGAGTCTATTGTTGTCTAACTTTCGACTAGACCTTCAACTTCCTCCTCAGCTCTCCTCTTTCAGATGAGTTGTTCTGTGGTTTATGACAAATTCTACAAACCCTATATGCCTCAGTTTCCTAATTTGAAAATGGTATCAATGCAGCCTCCCTCATAAATACCTTGAGTAACTACTCTTCAGTGGCCATGTAAACATTTACTTGCTCTAACTTTGTTACTTGGAAACTTTAGGACTTCTGCTTCAAAGGTTATTTAGGGCATTTGGGAGGCCTACCTTACCAAAGTGTGGCCTTGGTTGCCATGGGCCATCCAAATAGGTTGAACGAGGGTCAGTCTCTGGGTACCAAGCAGTTGTTACCGCAAGTCCTGGATGTTTTACGTTTGCCTGATGGCCACCTCCTGGGAGTAGTGGCTATGTGTGAGCAGCATTCATTGACAGAGGTAGGAGTAGTTCTTTGCAGCAGTCCTCTTCAGGATGAAGATACTTGCTTCTGAACTATTTGATTTCCAGTTAGTTTTTTACTTTGTTTAGCCCTCACCATCCTCTTCTCTGTCTTTTCTCTTTTTAAATTCAAATGTTTGCTCTTTTAAATGCACTTTTAGTAAGACCCAGAGAGGAGGGTAGAACTAACCTCCTAGACATTCCCTTCCATCCTCTGGTTGGTCTTCTGCCTTTGACTGAAAGTTGTCCTGGAGTTATCCAGGTATGCAGAATTGCGTGCTTAAAGCCAACATTAGAACTTCAAATCTTCTCCTCCGACGCTCTGGAGTCTAGGACAAATTCTACTCAGTAGTTTACGAGGAGAGCAGTGATGCTGTCATTTTCTCAAATTCTTGTGCATGGAACACTCTACAATTCCTACATTTTCCTTCAGGAATATCCTTTTTGATCACCGTAGATCCAGGGCTTTTTAACACTTCACACACAGTCAGTGGATGTATCAAATAGAATGTGCCTTCAGATGAGGGTTTACAATACTCTTCTGAATTTTTGCTCTTTTTGGAAAATTTTAAGCCAGATGTAACTGCTCTTGGTGCTGTATTGAGGGAAAGAATCACACTAGCTGTTTCAGGAGGCTTACCAACAGTTCCTGGTACCAGCTCAACCATTTGAAAGAATTTTGTTGGTGTGCAGAAGTTTGTTAGTAAACTACTAGGATTATTCCTGCTGTTACCCATGTTACATCATTGGTCATAATTGAACTGCCTCTAAGTAAAGCCCAAGAAAAACTTCATTCAGGAGGATTTGTGAGAGCTGTGCTATTGATCTGTCTGAAACCAGCCTTTGTTTTTTCAACAAGAAATGAAATGAGGTTGTATGCTTTCCAGCATTCAAGGACAACTGGCAGAAATTGACCAAATAGTGAATCTTTGCCACCTAGACCATATATTTTGTCTTACTTACAGAGTATGACTATTACCCTTTGGTAAGCAGATCCCACTCTTCAGGGCCTGAATTTGACATTTTCTTTTAAAAATTAGTTTTTATTTCTAGCAACAACCATTTACACTTTACACGAGAAAGGATAGTGGAATTTTATTCCAATAATCTTGCTTGAGAAATGTGAAAAATCATTTAAAAGAACTCACAAACTCAGGTGTACTTAGGTACAAGTACAGTGCTATTTAACTCTAGCCAGCTTTTCTGTCACACTGTTGTGAATACTTGTTTCCTTTCTGGCGGTGTAAGTGGACGGGGGACACCTGTAGTACATTACCTAATATTTGACTAAACATTGGTTTTCTGAAGGTAGACTATTTAGTTGTGGATTTTGTTTATTTCCGTAGATTCCCTCTTCGATTTCTCTCACTTTTGAAGTCACTGGGTTAAAGTATATTTATTTATATTTCCCCAAGCAAAGGATTTTTATTTTACTCTGAACAAAGTGAAAATTAAAATACTGATCAAATGGGCAACTGCTCTGGTCTTAAAAAGAACCAATAATAATACCAATGGTACCTTACTTTTGGATAGCCTACTTTCATGCTGTCTCCTTTAATCCTTAACAGCAGTTATGTGAAGTAGGCACGGCCCCATTTTGCTGATGAAGAATTAGGCTCAGAGAGTTTAATAGCTGTGTCCAGGGTTGTACTGCTAGTATTTGTCAAAGGTATAACTAGGAGCCTGGTTTTTGACTACTAGTCTGGTCTAATTTTATAATGTTTCCTCTCTTTAGATACCTAGTCCATTTTTCAGAAATAAACCAATCTGGAGCTCCTTGGCTTGTTCCCCTGTAAAATGAAATCTAAAGGGCTCTGTCTCTTGAGGGTTACTTTAGGTTATAGGCTGGCCCAAGAAAAGTTTTCCTTACTCAGAGGAGGATTGAGCAGTCCAGCCAGCTGTCTCCAAAATTTGGGAAGTGCTTTGCCCTGGCTGGATATCCAGGCCCCAGTATAAGCAAGAGAACTGAAATTGCTAATGTGTAAGCATGATCTTTGGAGCAGCTCATTTACAATGTTTAGCAGAAAAGCCTTTAGTGAAAGGCTAGAGTGGACTTGAGGATCATTTGTCATGATCCTGTTAGTATAGGTAGTTCAGAGTCTTTTCTCTCTGCCCTTAGAGCAATATGTTAGGTGTTTCAATGTAGAAAGTGGTGATAGAAAACTGAAATTTTGCACAAATCTCATCATTCTAAGAACATAAATGCAATAAATGCAGTAAAATGTTGGTGCCTTTGAAAGCAAAATTCAGACAGAAAGTTGCATATCTCAAGGTAAATCAAAGTAATTTATGACAGTTACTTAAAGCTAAATATATATATTTTTAAGACTGGATTGAATGTCTCCTAAAACTTACACTTTTTTCCTGATGATAAATGCACTAAGAGTCTTTCTAAGACTAATAGTCGGGGAAACAAGATGGTTATATTTAAATCCATCTTGTTAAGTAAGAAGAGTTTCTGAAATCAGAGGTCATCACTGCTGCATCCTATATAGTTCAGTCAAAATGAGGCTTCTGCTGTGCACTGTAAAGGCAGAGGGCAGTGTTGCTGCTTCTGGGACTGCTGCATGATGTCATGGCAGAAGGAAAATTAAAAACACAAAAACTATTTCAAAATAGACTTTTAATGTAATTTTTAGGCCAAAGGAAAAGCTGATCATACATCGTCTCCAGTGGACCATCTGCCAGAATAGGGCCAGCTCAGTCCAGCTTTGAAGGCCCTGAGTCAGGCTTAACTGCCATAATTTCCCTTGATTCATGGATTTGTGTTGCTTCTCATGCATCATAAGGTGCACTTCACTCTTGACATACCCACCACCTCCACTACTTCATTTAGCTGCAAAAGCAAGCTTCCCAATGGGAGGTTTTTTCCCAGGGGTTCTTAACCTTCAGGGAGTTTGATAACTTCATGTTCTCTCGAACCCTCTCCCCAGAAAAATGTACACATAATACAAGTCTACATAAAATTGCATGGGGTTCATGGAGCCCAAGGCCCCCTATGGTTTCTAAGGCCCCCTGTGAAGGAACCCCTGTGCTAGTGATTTGAACAATGCAGTTGCTCTAGGGAAACACTGACACAGGGCAGGTAAAGATGGGCTGGGTTAATCATGGTGACAGGAGGGAACAATCTTACAATTTCTTACTATTTTGATTTGGGGGCAGAAATTCTCAGGGCCTCCCTGCATTTTCAAGAGCAGAACTACTCAAGGACTAAGCAGCTATCAGTAGTTTAGGAGATTGAGAATAGCGGCTGTACGTAGGGAAGGTGCATGGCTCCCACTTGGCCCCTAAGGACTTAATTTAGCTCCTTAACCAGAAGCTTTACATTTGGTTTGCAGTCAGGGGGCATTTCTAATTTTAGTTTGACTCTTATGGAAAGGTGGACAGCTTCTATTCCTTTTTTTTTTTTTTGTATAGGGAGCACCTAAGTATTGGACAATTAGGGTTAAGTCCTTGGAATGCCCCAAATGGCCATTTCCTCTATAAATATAATATTCTCTACCTCTGAATATTTTAACATAAAGAGCTGCCTCACAAGTTTATCCAACCATTGCTTGCACTAAGAAAGCAAGAGGTTTACGAAGAGCCTTTTCCAGGCGTCCAAGAACTCCTTCCAGCCTTATTGGGAGGAGAGGGGAATTACTAAAACCACACTTGTAGGAATGAAATGAGGCTGTCAGTTGTCTAACCTGACAAACTGCCAAATTAGGCTCACGTTTTTGTTAATAGACTTTTGAACGGCTATTGAGAAGCAGAATTAAAATTTTAAGCTGCTGATTGTAGTTACTTTCTACTCCCCAAACACCCAACACTGGTTTATTTCTCCAGCATCAAGAAAGAAAACCAAGGCACTAGAAAACAAGCACACTTAAGTACTGAAGATAATTAAATCTTTATATTTTGCCGGAACTGTATATTGTAGCACACTAAAACCCATTCAAGGGAAAACTGGGCAAATTGAAAATTCTCCCATTAAAGATTGTTTTTTGAATATGGACAAATTAGATGATTCCTTTACCCCCCCCAAAAATGCAATCACATAAATCAGTATTATTCTGAATTAGCTCTAGAAATCACACTGAAACTACATTACATTTACAAATATTAAATTTATTATAACTAGAATGAATTGAATGGTTCTCAGATTTGGCCACCTTATAGCTCCATTTAAGGAGGGGATTTTTAACAGAAAAATGCTTTATAACTTGGTCAAATTACACATTAAAAAAGAAAAAAACTCCTAAAAAGGAAAACAAGAAAAGCAACCCTTCAGTTTCACATAATTAAAGAACAGGAGAAAGCACACAAGCTACATCATAGCTAAATTTACCAAACCAACCAAAGCCAGGGGGGATTTCTTTTCTGATTATGTGTCATAAAAAGGTCCACTGTCTTATATACACATGTATATAATGTTACATTCCGTCACTGTAAAAAGTCCCCTTTGCCCCCCTCCCCCCCCAAAAGTTTCAGTCTAGTCTCCAAACTTGGACAGCGGTGCTCGCTCCTGCTGCCGGTGCAGTTCGTTCTCCGTCAGCAGCTGGAGGTTCTCGGCGCGCAGCCGGTCTAGCTCCAGCTCCAGCTCCCGGACCCGCGCGTCGTCGCCGCCCAGCCGCTTGCTTTCCAGCCGCAGCCGGTTATTCTCGTCCTCCATGCGCGAGAGGCACTTCTCCAGCTCCAGGTACTCTTTGATGAGCTCCTGCTTGCTCATGTTCTGCAGGCTCTCCGCGTGGTACCGCTCGTAGGTCTCCGAGAAGTCCCGCTGCAGAAACTCGCTGCCGTCTCCTCCCATCCCGTCGCTGCCCCCATCCTCCTCGCCCGCTTCTTCCATAAAGTCCTCATCGCTGGTGTCGTCAGATTTGGCAGCGGCCCGTTTGGGATAGAGGCCGGTTTTAAGATCCGGCTCCTCCTGGTCGTGATCATCCATGAGGAACTGCGTGGTGTTATAGGGAGCCACTGGCTGGCCCTTGGCGAACATCTCGGCTCGAATCCTCGAAGCTCGCAGGCTCTGTTTCTCATCGAACTTTTTCTTCTCCTCCCAGGTCAGCGTGTAGTACGGTTTCCAATGCCGCTTCTTCTTGGAGGGGCGTCTCCTATGTTTTTTCTTGCCCAGCTGTCTCTGCTGCTGTCCCCACGCCTCCTCGCCCCCTGCGGTAGAAGCTCCCAACTTGTTGGCCTTCGGCCTCTGTTCCCCTCCCGCCGCCGGGTGGGGGGCACCGCCAGCGGACAAGTCGTCCCCATTCTGGCCCTTCTCACCCGCTTCCGGACAGCTGGATTCTGGGCAGACCTGGGTCTGCACGGGAGGCGGCTGGAGCTCCAGGCTCCCTTCCCCGCCCAGCCCCGGAGAGCCACCCGACTGGGGGGACGCTCTCGATTGCCACCTACTGTCCTCCTCGGGCACCCGCTCCTCCGCGCCTGGGGGGCGATCAAAGTTCGGCTCTTCATGGACAGCAGCAGCACCTGTACAGTTGCTAGTTTGAGGCTGGTGCTGATACTCTGACAAGAGTGGCTCGGCCATTACTAATAGAATCCTCTTCTCGGAGTTTGAAGAATTTTGGCTGTAAGTCCTTAAGGAAAAAAGGGTTTTGTTTTCTTTCAAAAATGTCCAGCACAGTCCTCTTCGGTCTGTAATTCCTGCAGTGATGCCTTCAGCCAGTCCTTCTGTCAGCAAACTCCAGTTGCAATTTGGGGGCGCTCAAGTCAGTAAAGGGTTAAGGGCCCACAGCGCGGCCGGCTAGCGGGTCCAAGGGGGTGCAGCAGCAGGAACAGTAGGTGTTGTGCAGAGGGGGGTGGGCCTCAAGCCTCCCCGCAGAGCGCCCCCGCGATCAAGGAGTTGGTGGGCAAGGAGATTAGGTTAAATCCAACGGGCTAAACCCAGCCCCGAAGGGGTTAAAACTACCCGATGACGCTGACTCCGAGGGGCCGGATCCACAAAGGGTTAAATCCCCTGCCGCAGAGCCCACAAGGGGTTAAAGTCCCAGAGCCACCTCCTCCCACTTCCACGGGTGTCGCTCCAACCCGTGCTCCCACTTCCCTAGGCCCGGCCGGAGCCTCAGCCGAGGACAGACAAACTCATCTCCCCTTTGGCTCGATGCTCTGCTCAGCTCAGTTCTCCTCCGCCTCCTCCTCTTTTTCCTCCCTCCCTCCTCCCCCCTCCGACAGCTCCTCTTCCGCCTCCTCCCCCAACTTCCCCTCCCAACCTGCCTCTCCACCTGCCAACTTCCAACTGCTGCCTCCCAGCCCTCTGCGCCCCTTTTATATAGAAGACGGTCTGCCCCGCCCATGCGCATGCGTAACGGAGTCCCCATCGCAGGAAGCTGGGAGTCGTAGTTCCCATCTTTCAGGCCCGCCGTCCTCTCGCGCCGTGCGACGTAGCCAATCCCAGGGCGCGTCGGGGGCGTCTTCCAGGCCACCTCCTTCCATCGTTTATCCCTCGCTAGAGAAACGTGAGCGCCCATTGGTCAAGAGGCACATGTCTCGCCGAGGAAGGAAGGCCGATCGCAGAGAAGATGGGGCGGGTTCTGGACCATACCATTCTGCTTCAGGAATACGAGAAGATTCGATGGCCTATGAGGGCCCGCACAGAATATTTTTATGAAAAGGTGCGTTTTAAAGGCTACTATTTTATTCTGTCCTCAGCGGAAAGGTTCTGAAGGTCATAAACACTTGTTAGCTAAAGCAAGAATGGTTTACTCCTAAAAAGTAGTCCCTAAAGTGTAAACGAGGATTTAATTCTGTAAAGAGAGATATTGGCCCATGGCTAATAATTCTCGATTCTTAAAATTATAGGCATGTCTTTAAGGTGTGTGGTTAGTGACTGGGATTGACGTTTGCGGAAGGATATTGTGAACACATTTTTGTTTAAAAAAGCGCATGAAGAAGTAAACAAATGAAGAATAAAAAGTGCCGCCTTAAAGGGACAGTGTGACTGCGTTAGGGCAGCAACCTCGGACTAGGCCTCGGAAAATGAGAAAGCAGGTTCGAGTCCCGGTTGTCGTCCGCCTTCGGACTGGTCTCGGGACCCTTGGCCGAAAGTGGCCGAGTCCCAGCCCCAGCGTAGTCCTTCTGGGCCACCGCCGCCCCAGGGGCCAGTGCAAAATGGTGGGCCGTGACCGAGGCTCTCGCCTGGGCCGGGAAGCACCGGGTGTGCGCCCTGGGCTCCCCCGAGACCCGGCCTGTAAGGCCTCGCCCCCTCCTCCCCTACCCGGGCCTCAGCTTCTATCGAAGAAAATGGTCTTCTGGGGCCGTCTTGGTCTCTTCAGTTGGGAACCGACCAGGAAATCTTCCTAAGCCCGGACAGGAGAGTCCAGGGCTGCTGCTGAGCCTCTTTGTTGGGGGAGGGGTTCGAAGTTAATACTGAGTTGAAATAATCAAGCCTGGCTAGTCGAGAGAGAAGGGCGAATCATCCACAGAGGCTCTTCCTTGTCAGTGGGCGCTGGGCAATACCGGGAGGGAAGCAGAGCCAGAGGCTTCCGCAAGGAGGAATCCTTGCCCAGAAATGGAGGCAGGGGGATTCTGGCCCAGAACTGTGGGACAGATTCATGGCGGAGTGGAGGGGGGCAGCGACATAGTCTCCCTGTGAAAATTCTCCAGATTCCACGCTCCCGCCCAAAGGACAGGGGCCGGGAGTAGCCCAAACCCTCCGCCCAATTCACTTAGGCCTAAAATCACCCCGAAATCTCAGTTTCTCCCACTTGCCATACGCACAGTGACCCGTTCTGTTCTTACTGTTCTTACTATTTCTTCCTCAGCTGCCGTGTATTACATTGCAACCGCTTTCCACCGCACAACGTTCTTTTACACACAGAACCATTTGCCCCACCACAACAGCCCAGTGAGTTAGGCAAGGTAGGGATTATTGTCTCCATTTTAGAGATAAGAAATCTCAGAAATTGACTTGTCCAAGGTCACATGACAATTGAGTGGCAATTTCAGCTAAAGCGAAGGTCTTTGTGTGTGACCCCGTGCCATTTTTCTTTCATAAACACAGAATTCCTTTTTTTTTCGTAAAAACGCTAATTTTGTTTCCTTTTCATCTCCAACCTTCAGCCTAATTCAGGTCCTTATTTCTTTTCTTTTTCTCTCTCTCCTTTTTTACCCTCCCCCCCCCCCCTTTTTTTTTTCTGGCTGCACCACACAGCATAAGGGATCTCCGTTCCCCAACCAGGGAACGAACCTGGCCCCCCGCAGTGGAAGCGGGGAGTCTTAACCACTGGACCACCAGGGAAGTACCCCAGGCCCTTCCTCACTTAGCAAACATCGGATAGAAGGGCACAATGGTGAATAAAATGTCATCCTTGCTACTCAGGTAATGTGTAGCGAGGCCATCAAACCACAGTAAGCAAGTGAAGAAACTCCTGGTAGGAGCTTGTGAGCCAAGTTGCTTAGGAGTTGAGAATTGTGGACAGGTTTCATGCAGGAGCTGACTTCTTGGCTGTCTCTGAAAGACGAAGCATTTTCAGGCAGAGTAGCCTGAAGTAGGGCATTCTATGAAGAGCAAGCATCTCATCCCAAGACGGGTCTTGTCTGGGGACTCAGGAGTGCTTCTGTGGGGAAGTGGTGATGGGTATGCCCAGAGGGAGAGGCAAGCAAGTGTGACCCTGAGGCACATCCAGGTGTTTTGAGGTTGAACATCCTAGCCTGTTTTCCCTGGGCTTCCAAGAACTCAGGTCTATCTGAAAAGCCTGCCCCTCCTCTGTGCTCCTTCATCAGTCACACAGGAGGCTTCCCGGGAGCAAGAGCTGCCCCTCACACTGGGAGCTCCCCGAGGAAAAGAGTCTTTGCAGAGAACTCGACCGAGAGTCAGAGACTTCCAAATTGTTCCATTTTCAGATGCCTGAGGACTCCTGGGTACCCTCAATCAGGGGGTTTGGAAGGTAAACTGAGCCCAACCTCAGTCTACTGGACAGGGCTCAGCTATATGCACTCATTCGCCCTATTAGGGGAGGGGTGGCCAGACTGATAGTTCGTAATTCTAGAATTCTATGAAAGATATTAGCTGAGGTTTAACTCTTTGCTAGGCATTTACAGGTCCTGGTCATTTATTTTTTATTTTTTAAATTTTTTTATTTTTATCTTTGGCTGCGTTGGATCTTTGTTGGATGTGCGCGGGCTTTCTCTGGTTGTGGCAAGCAGGGGCTACTCTTCGTTGCGGTGCGCGGGCTTATTGCAGTGTCTTCTGTTATTGCAGAGCACGGGCTCTAGGCGCGCGGGCTTCAGTAGTTGTGGCGCGCCAGGGCTCGAACCTCTGTCCCCTGCATTGGCAGGCGGATTCTTAACCACTGTGCCACCAGGGAAGCCCCTGTCCTGGTCACTTAAACCCCTGGAGTGCCTTATGATGAAGAGATCTTCATCGTTATCTCACAAAGCAACCCAGGCTCAGAGCAGTTAAGAATCTTGCCCAGGTCACACAGCTAGTATGTGCAACTGGTGGAGCTGGCTTCCGCCCGACTCCTGCATCCCCAGCATCAATTTGGTCCCTCTTCCACTGCCCTCCAGTTGTCCATCCTTAACACACGGGTTAACTCAAAATTTCGGAGCCCCAGCAGTCTGCAGCAGCCAGCGACCCCCGGAAGTCTCTGCACACTCCGGCACTGGGCCCACCCCGACCGGGGCTCCCGCGCAGGGCCCCGCCCCCTCTCCTCTGGGAGGGGCGGGAACGAAGCTCCCGCCGGCCTTGGCCTTCCAGAAAGTTCCCTGGGAAAGCCCGAGCGCAGAGGTCACCGGGAGGGGGAACGGGGAGCGAGCAGCTGAGGAGGGGGAAGGGGACAGTGAGCACTTCTGGGGCCAGGATCTCGGCCCCGACCCTACGCCTGGCGCGCGGAGCAGGGAGTAGCCGCCCTCCCCTTCGGGCGTGGACGAAGCCTGTGCCCGGGCCCCGCCGCACTCCTCTCCTCCCGCCACCCCTAGCTCGCCGGTTCCCTCCCCCCGCCACGACGGGGCGGGGGGCGGGGCCGCGGCCTTGGCCCCGCCCCCACCGCGGCGCGTCTCCTCCGCCTCCGTTCCAGACCCTGGGCTGGTGCCTCCACTAACCCGGGTAGCTGGGAAATGCTTCCTCTGGGACGCCGCGCGCTGGCCTCTCGGGGCCGTCCACGGGCAGCGGGGGAGGGGGAAGGGTAGGGACTTGAGGCTCGCGCGCCCCGGACCCGCTTCCCGCCTCAATCCGTGGCAGCCCAGACGGCAGAAGATGAAGGTTTTATTTTATTTAGTGAAACACTCTTTTGTAAGTTAATGTTTAGTGAAGACGTCCTGAGTATATGGGGGGGTAGGGCGGCCAGGAAAACGGAGCAGACTCCCCTCCCCCAGGGTTAGCTCTCTCCGCCTTTCCCCAGCTCGGTCAGGCCTCCCAGCCAATCATTTTTCCAGGCCCCGGCCCAAGTCCCAACTTGCCCACGAGCTGAGCCTCCTCTGGGAGAGGCTAGGGTGGGAAAGGAGTCAGGTGACCCAGAGGGTGGGGAGGGCAGAGGCTGAGACCCGGCACCTCCGCCCCTGAATCAGCCGCCAACCCTGAACTGGGGACGTGCACCACACATGCAGCCTCCTCAGGGAGCCTGAGGTGGTTGGGGGTGAGAGGAGGGGAGTTCTGTGGAGCTGCAGGAAGAGTGGGGTCCTATCCGGCTCCCCATTAGGGGGGAGGTGCCAAGGCAAACACTAATTAGGGCAGGAAGGGGGTGGGAGCGGGGTTTAACGCCGTTCTCCTAAACTCTAGGAAGGCTGAAAGTCTCCTCCGTTGACTGCAGAGACTCCTCCATTGAGAGTCACCTCTTCTGGGTCCGAAACTGTCGGAAGAGCCACTGGACGATGAAGGGCCACAGGAGGAAGAAGAGCAGCGTGGGAACAGAGAGCCCAGTGCCGGGCCTTGGCCTCTGCCGCCAAGAGGAGAGAGTCAGGAGCCAGCCCGGGCCTCAGCACAGGCTGGGCCCTCCTTCGCAACCTGCTTACAGAGCTCAGGTGGGAGCTTCTGCCTCCCTCTCCCCAGTCTGAGGACTGGGGCTCCCAGTTTGTCCCTGACACGTTGAGCCCTCTCTCCCATATCCTCCTCCAAGGTACCGAGAAGGCTGAAGGCTGGAGAGGCTGCTGAGTGGAGAGACTGGCTTCGAGGCCGTCTCCTCTGGGCCACAAAGCAGTGACCCTGTTGGTGTGGCCCGAAGACCCCATATTGTAAAGGACATGCCACATATTTCAAATGAGGACCCTGGGTGCTCAGATTTTAGTTTATAAATACCATTCTCTGCTGAATGGAGAAGTGGCAGATTTTAGGTCTGGAGCAGGGAAGGTAGAATTGAATGTGAGACGTCTTGTACCAGGAAGCAAGGAAGCTTTTAAAGATTAATGAGGTCAAATTACCAGAACATAGAACCCAGCTTGAAAGGGTCCCACCAAAGTTGTGACAGCCTGGGCATCAAAAAGAATGATGATTGCAGTTGACTGAAATACTGAGTCTTTAAAATCCATGAGTTCATGATGATACTCAAAGAGAAAGGGGAAATTTATCACCATTGAGGTGGCTGTTAAATCAACTCCTTACTCTAAAAATAGGTAATTAAAGAGAAAGAATTAAGCACTTATGCTGACTTCCATAAGGCACTGTATTTCGGGGAAATCCTAGATGATCAGGGAAACTCTACAGAAAAATGGCAGCTAATAAATGTTAAAGGAATAATAGAATTTAAAAGTCAACATTGTTTTTTGTAACCAGTAAATAAATTATTGATCCAGGCAAGGAGTATCTATCAATTGTCAAAAGCTGTATGTCAAATGGGCTTGATGGGGAACTGGACATTCCCTGGCTGCAAGTGGTGGGAACAGACTGTCACCCCTTCATCCCTGCTAGTGGTCCACGCTAAAATCATTCACGGTAGGACATCCAAATATGTGTCCCTTGATGTAAAGAAAGAACATCACTTCTGATGTAATCTGGTCATGTAAACTAGCCAGGAGGCTGTCATTAGACAGACCACAAGAGTGGAACATTCTACAGGATCACTATCCAGTCTCATCCGCAAGTCAGTAGCAAGGAAGAGGGACTAGTCTAGACTAACAGAGTCTTAAGAACAGAGGCTCCTGGCCTGGACAGACAGGGAAGGTGGAAAAGGGGATTTGAATGTGGATTGTGTATTGGATGATATGAAGGAATTACTGTGTGTGATAAAATTTTGTTTTTGCTAGGTAGTAGAATGTCCTATTTTTAGAGATGCAAATCCAAGTATCTCAGGGTAGAAACCTTTAAAATCTTCAGCATATAAAATTAATAAAAGGTAAACAATAAATAAGACCCTGGGGGGTGAGTGTAGAAAGGTTAGCCGCTGTGGATCTGAGGGAATTCCTGCCAACCTGGCTGACACCCACTGTGCCAAGGGGGTGAAGAGTCACGTGAGTGATTCCCCCGCATCCAGGAACTCAGCCGTCCCCTGCCCCCACCACTCCAGGCTTCGCAAGAACAGACTCACTCAGTGAGTGGTGGATGCCAGCTTTGGTGGGAGACAGACCTAGGGCCACTCCCAGCTCCATTACTTAACGTTAATACTAATACTAACAATGAACCCCATTTGAGAAGTCCCCCCCCCCCCGGGCACTGCGGAAGCACCTACATGCATTATGTCATCTAATCCTCAAAGCAGCTCTCAGGCTGTGTACCCTCAGGTAAGTTACTCAACATCTCAGAGCTGTAGTTTCCTCATCAGTAAAAGGGAAACGAAAAGAAAACCTATTTCACTGGTTTGTTTTGAGGATAAAATGAGATAATGCAGGTAATGTGTTTGGCACACAGCTGGGGTTCCAGAAATGGCTGCTGTGATTTATTTTGCAGAAGCAGAGGTGTAAAGGGCAAGCAGACCTAGAAGTTGAGAGGTGGGAGTGAGGGATGCAAGGGCTAAATTTGGGTAGGGCGAGACAATAAATCTGGGAACAGAAGTCCTGACTGAGGGGCAATAGGGACACCCCCCCCCAGCCCCAATGCAAAGAGCAGACACATTCTGGCCCCTCCAACTGCTGGAATTCCATTTGTCCTCAGTTACTCTTCAGGCAGAGGGAGATAAGAGCAGGAAAGGAGGGCCTCTCCCAGTTCCAGGCTGGAAGCATTACTGCAGACCCCCTGACTTCCTTGCCTGCGCCACGAGCCACAACATTCTCTGGAGAAGGCAGAGGTGTGAGCAGGCAGAGACGTGGGGACAAAGACAGAAGTGGCTGGATGAGGAGTCCAGAAAAGAGACCCTCAAAGTGCTGCCCCAGCCTTGCCCTGGGCCTTCGGACAGGGCTCACCTGCTTGCGGGGGACAGGCATGCTCTCCAGGCTCTGCAGTCTCCCCTGGACGTCCCGCATGCTCTCCTGCAGCGCCCGAACCGTCCCCACCAGCCATGTGTCCAATTCCTGGGGCCCCAGCAGGGTGCTTTCCAATCTCCCTGCAGTGCACAGACACACAGGGAAGGGGACTCAGGAGGCAGCTCAGCTAGGGGCAGGGTGGTGGCAGGCTGGGGCAGGTCCAGGGAGAATAAGAGTAGAGTGCGATCCCTTGTACCAAGTGTGAGTCTTGTAAAGCCCATCCATGTGGCTGAGTAATGGGCTGCCAGGGGTTTGAATCCCAGCAGGACTACCACTTAGCTGTGTGACTTTGGGCAAGTCAGTAACTTCTCTAAACCTCGTTGGTCAACTGAAAATTATGTCATCTCCCTCACAGGGCTGCTCGCTCTGAGGAATAAAGGAGATAATATTTATGAAAGTGCCCCTTATGGGACGTGGCACACTGGAAGTTCTAGAAAGGGATTGGGCAGAACTCGTTGTCCTAAGAGAGTCCCAAATGGGAGACCCAGAGAGAGAGGATGACTCCCAAGACCACGTAGGTGTAGGTGAGAGAGCTGGTCTAGGAATTCTACCCCAGCTGCCCTTCCTCAGTGCCAGCCAAGAGTACAGACTCCTGGTGGCCCTCGGAGAGGAGGCCGGGCAGTGACTTTGCCCATCCAGGCCAGTGTCTGGCTTTAACCCTTCCTGGGCAGAGGCTAGGCACTCTCTCCAGTGCCTAGCGTTGGATTTCACCTCTCCCCATGAGGGCAGCCAGGGGAAGGCCCAGGGCACCAGAACCATGGGAACGGCCGAAGGGGGTGAAGGGTCAATCAGGGGCTCACCTTTCTTTGCAGGAGACTCGGTGCTGTTTCTGGTGTTCAGCTCTCCTCCCAGGGCGCCCCTCTGCTCTGCCCCAACCTGCTGAGAAGAGTCAAAAAGTCCAAGGGGGGTGGTGGGAGCAGCTAGGGCCCAGTGGGGTAGGGAAGGGGAGGCAATGGGAGTGGGTCTCACCAGCTCAGGCTCCAGCTGCTCCATGGAATCACAGAAAACCTCAGAGTCCTGGTCCCTGGGTGGCTGGGACTCTGAGAAGGGGATGAGTAGGGTTAGTGACAAGAGGGAGGCCACGGAGGGAGGGGAGGGGGGTGCATCTAGCCAGAGGCATCTGTTCAGGGCACACTAGAGATACTGCCACAAGAGGCACAGATGGCTCCCTGAGTGGGGCCCTGGAACAGGAATCCCAGAACCTGCCCCTGGCCTCTGGGAGCACAGGAGGTCTCAGTGTCTGGGCACGAGGCGTGACAGGCACAGCGTGGCACCTAGCCTGCTACCCTCCACCCTGCCTGGAGGTCCCCCCCACCTCCGGCCTGGTTTTGGCCCTCTGCCCCTCCTGCCCAGGCACTGACCTGGGCTTGGGGGTGCGGGTTCCTTGGGAAGGCAGGGAGGCTCTGGGGCAGGCTCAGCATCTCCATTCAGCACCTGCTCTTTCCAACCTGCGGAGACACAACACCCAGAGGCGGGGCTGGGAAGATATCAGGCCCCTGCTCCCCAATTAGCCATGGACTCTGCCTGGGACCCACCCCATCAGGGGCACTGGTTGCGGTCCTTACAGGGACATCACCTAGAGCCCTCTGCCCCCAGGCTCCCCTCCAACTGAGGAGCCCCCCGAGACAGTTCAGTCAGCACTCGTGGAGCTCCCAGCCTGGGGGCCTGACCTGTGACCCTTTTCAGGAAGGTCTCCGGGGGCCTCGGCATGTCAGGGATCACCTGGTACAGGGGCTCGAAGTAACCAAACATGTCCTCTGCCACCTCGCCCAGGGGCACCGTGTCGATCACCTGTGCAGGAGGGGGTCTAATGGGGAAGGGCTGGCCCCTCCCACCACTGCCCCCTTGAGCTGGGCCGCCTCCACCCTGCTTCTGCCCTGTCATACCTCTCCCCCTTGTGCCCAGTCAGGAACCAGAGACAGGCAGGGGTGGGGGAACAGCATGAAGGTGGTTAATTCCCATAGGGGTATCAACGTGCAGGAAACATAATGGGGGTCAGACTGGAAGGGTGGGGGGCAGGCCACCTGGCTGAGAGCTTGGTCACAGAGAGGAGTCTGCAGCCTCTCCCTACCCTCTGGGCCACCAGCTTCATCTCAGTGACGTAGGCAGACATGGCCTGCTCCCTGCTCATCTTGCCCAGGCTGTTCCAGGCATCCCTGGGGGACAGAAGGCTGTGAAATGCTGGTTGACAGCTGAGGCTTGTTTGCCCAGCCGATGGGGAGCTCACCATTTATAACGTCCAATAGGGTCCCAGAACCCAGGCTGGGGGACCAGGCAGGGCCCCATGGTAGCCTGCTTGTAGTAGCTGTAGAATCGCAGCATCTCTTTATAGGAGGGGCGGTAAGAGCCTGGGCAGGGGTTGGGAAGTGGGGGAGAAAGCATCACTCCCAGCTCCAAGAGGATGGAGGTTGGGGGAGAACCACCCTTGGGGAGGGCAGAGATGGCGAGGGGTCCCACCAGGGCAGCTGGACAGGGGCAGGTGGCAGAGGGGACCCCCAGGACAACTCAGGCAGGGACTTGTCTGTAGAAGCTGCCAGGACCAAAGCCTCCTGGGAGGCGGACCCCAGTCGTCTTGACCCCCAAATGCGGGTCCCCATGCCCTCACCGTTCTTAGGCAGGTTCTGAATGATGCTTACTGCGGCCTGGAACTGTTTCTGGCAGTCCGGCTCTGGATTTTCATTTTCGGTACCCATACCCAGCTGCTCTGAGCCTTGGGGCCCTACTTTTGAGTGACTCTGCAAGAACAAACCTGTGTGTGAGCAGGCTCCAGCCCGCCCCTCCTGCCCCCCGCCCCAACTCCTCCCTGGCACACGCCTCTGTAAGTCACTGGTCCATTTTCCAGGAGCAAACTAAGCTCTTTAGAGGCCTGAGACACCCCGGGAGGTCAGAAGCTGCGACTGAGAAGACTCCTTTTCCTACCCCAAGGCAGCGTGGGTGGGGCCAGGATGGGTGGAGAGGACCTCGGTGTGTGGGTGGAGAGACAGGTGGCAAGTGCTTCTCTAGATGCACATCTCCAACTCCTAGACAGGAGAACCCGCAAGCCGAGAGGAGACAGGGCGGGGCAAACATCCTCCCACCCCGGCCCCCCCCATACCCCGGCTCAGCTGCCCGGCCGCCCGGCACTCACCCTCAGCGCCCACTGCCCGGACACCTGGGTTCCCGCTCGCCACTAGCCGGAAGCTTCCGATTGACCTCCTGGCCGGGTCTGGCCCGGATGGGGACGCGGAGCAAGGGGGAAAATTTAAGCCAATGAGAGAGCCCGTTTCAGATTTCTTCTACACCTCGACCACTCAACGCGGCCCTTTCGAGATTATGCAAATAGTTTAGCGGTGCCTCTCCCAATCAGGCGGGGCAAATCCGCGGGTTGGTTCCTCAACCCTGGATCGCCAGAGGCAGGC